GCTTTACTATGCCTACTAGAACCTCCAGTAGAAACTTTTCTATGTGGAAACCATTTGGGCAGCACCTGGCTTCCAAACTACCCTCCTGGGGATCCATCAAATATTTTCTGGAGGTTGAGCATGAGGACTCATAGGACGGGGGTGACCCGGCCTTATCACTGAGGGGGAGCAAATCAGCTTCTCCCCACCCTACCTTGCTCAAGAGAAGCTCCCAGCATCCTCCTTTGGTTTCAGACATAGCTTACACATGGAGGAGTTAATGAGAGGTCTCCCTAAAAAATGTGAATTGCACAATATGTTCCAGGGCTTGGAATACTCTATTAAAAAAGATATGCCACATGCACTTCAACCTGTGTTATCTCCTACTGTGCATAGAGGACTCTGAGAAACACCTAAGTACACATGAGGAAGCCATTAAAGAGCTTCAGTTTCAGCTGGCCATGACTCACCCCACCAGTTTGTACAAGCTGGAGGATCAAAAGAACAGGCATACGGTAGAAGGCATTCTAAATTCTTTTCTTGGGAACCCCGCCAGCACATCACATCCACAGGACTCTATGTCCCCACAACATATCCTCAGACCTGCCGCCGCAGACTACTCTGAGGACAAGGAAGCTATCTTCCAAAAGCTTAGGGCTCTTCCTTCAATCAACTTTGATCGTGCCTCCATAACTATTAACCTTGATTTAGCCTGAGAAACCTTGGAACGTTAACAGGCTTTATGTCTTCTCTTGGATAAGCTATGTGGTGTCAGTATTACATATTGTTGTGGCTTTCCCTCCTGTCTAATAGCTACAGAGATGGTAATTCCATTGTTCTATGCTTCTGGAGGACTTATCTTTTGGCGGTACGGATCTCTAAATTGATCCACCAGAATTACCTGGATAGCAAGAAGTAATTCCATCTTTTACAACCATCCTGGAATCCCAGTGGCATAAAATGCACTCAAAGCAAAAGCATATCTCCACACTTGGCTGTTCACAGAAAAACGAATGAAATCTGCTAGATGGCTATGTCACCTGTGGCCGCAGGGCTGCTTTCTGAGTTGAATGCTTAGAGTTTATACTTTTGGAATTTATTTTGTATTAGCTGTTATTCCCTTGTTTAAGCCAGTAATGGCCTATGCATAGTAGCTTACATCCTGCTTCATTAATATTTTGAAGTGGACTTTCTTTATAAAAAAACTCATGGAGTCTTCCATACATGTTGGTGGTTTAATGATTGTTGTATTATCTGCTTACTTTCCATGTTTAGCTTTTTTTATTGTCAAATGTTATTTAGTTTTACCTCCACGCAGCTAGTAGGTTCTTCCATAAAGGTCTCTTAATGGGTCTTCTAGCTGTTGCTCTACAGCTCCATCTCCACATACAGGGCAGTATCATTCCGTAGATCTACCAAAAAATGGCACATGTAAGTTAATGTAAAGGAGGGGCTACGTAAAAATGGTGCCCGTAAGTTAATGTGAAGGAAGGCCTACAATAAAATTGTGCCTACAAGCATTTTCTATGTAGGACTACAACAAAATGGCGCTGGATAGACCTATATATACCCCAAGCAGAAAGAGGTGCAATCATAAATCCCCTGAAGAAGGCATGTGTGCGGTGATGAAACACATAGGAACAGGACCTTTTGATGATGTCACGATGCTCGTTTAAACAATAGCATGCATTATTTACATAGTGGTGAAGACGGTATTGCACAAGATTTCTGGATTTACCATATATGCTGTGTATATTTGGTGCAATCTAGCACCTGGAACAAGTGAGTGTATATTGATCTATTTTAAAGAGTTTAATAAATAGTTGGAGGATAAAGCACTATGTAGCATTTTATTTACATGTGGTGGAGTGGATACTAAGGAGGAGGTGAGTAAAAAAAGCTATACTCAGGAGATCTTCATGATCCAATGAAGGGACAAAAGGCAGGATGAGACCAAGTATTAATTTTGAGGTCATACATTGGAGGTGAGCGGACATCTGGTGGTGGTAAAGTCACTGAATGTAACTGGATCTGGCACAAGCAGCAGCACAAATTTAAGGAATTGGATTTGGCAGTTATTAATGTTTGTATGCATGCCACACCAAGCTTTGGGTCTGCTTTGTATCGGAGTTATGCAATGCTGACTTGCATGTAGCTGCACGGATCCCAAGATCCTTCAGACATCTGTCTACACTGACCTCACTCCTAACAATAGCAATGTTGTCTATTTGGGATACACTAAATTGCCAAAATAACTAAGTGTACAATTCACCCTTAATGCCTTTGCTTGATCATCAATATTTTCTACCAGGATACCTAGACAAAATGTTTTTGCTCATGGCTACCACACTGCCCTCTATTATTGTATAATATAATTTGGGACTCAAATCTTAAACCATTGCGGGATCTAGTAAACACTGCTTTCACATTCCCAATGAACAGGTGGTGTTATAATCAAAAATACTTAAGTCTTTGAGAGAACTGACCCCACTTGAATCTATATTTCACTCATCTTCTCTATCATCGTGCTGTATATCTCAATTCTACCAGACTTTACTAACCTCAAAGGGATCACCATTTACGGATTATCTATCATGATGGGAATCAGATCTCAAGGAATCCATTATAAACTCTAAAAAAATCTTCTAGAACTGGCTCATATCTCCTTCATGTCATCAAAAATGACAGAAGTCAACTACAAGCTTCTAACGAGATGGCATCATTCTGCAGCAAAGCTTCACTCCATTTTTCCAGACATATCATCTCTTTCCTGGAGGGGATGTGACATGACAGCTAACCTTGCACACATTTTGGTGGCATTGTCCATGTATTTAATCCTATTGTGATAAGTCTTATCACTGATTGCTTGACTCAAAAAGCCTTGCACTAGATCCAAGTCCTTGGACCATATTATTTCACTGTACAAATGAACCAACAGGCGAATATAAACATTCTAATACCCAACACCTTCTAAATAATGCTAAATCCTTCATTCCTAATTATTGGGGGCAAAAAAGTACTCTGTCCATTACCGAATGTTTTTAGAAAATAGATGGCCTGTTGTTACGTTTTTAAGATGTCACCACATTCTGACCTTGTGTCTCAACCTGCAAATATCTCTGTTCTGTGCTTCTTTGGATATGGTCATATTCTACTGATTTATAAAATTGTGGCACTATCTGCTGGTGTGCAGGACTCCCGTCTCCTTCCCCCCCTCCTCTTTTTTTTCATTTTCTCTTCTTCTTTTTTTTCTTTTCCACCTTTTCTTCTAACAATCCTTATTAACCCTACATGAATACACAATATTATTTTTACTGAATTGTCAGACTGTTATTCATACAGCCCTTTCATATATACGTATATATATTGGTTGTTTTACATGCTGCTTGTCACACTAACAAGTCATGCATTACTAACATTTGTATGTGTGATGCCTTTGTGTTCTTTATATCAGATACCCTCTATTGTAAATGTTTTCTTTACCTGTAAAACACACCTTTCTCAATAAACAAATATTGAAAAAAATAAAAGTAACCTTTACTGGATGTGTTTTGAAAATATTCCTGCATTACACACAGATAAGAAATAGAAGTTCGCATGTTATCAGTTTACTGACAAACATGAATAGGACGGATTGATGCATCGAATGGGTGGACTGATGCAGCTACTCCAGAATTCATCAATAACATACTGAGCAGGTATAGGGATTGATTTATTGAAATTGGAGAGAGAAAAATTTGGTGTAGCTCTGCATAGACCAATCAGCTTCCAGGTTTTTTGGTCAAAGCTTAATGAACAAACTGAAGTCAGAAGCTGCCATGCACAGCTGCACCAGATTTTTCACTCTCCAGTTTTAGTAAATCAACCCCATAGTGTTGTTTTCTGTATGTAATTCAAGACTGATTTTTTTTTATAATTCAAATTACATCTTTAAGAGGAACTACGCTGTATCTGAGCACCACAAACCAAAAGCACAATTGAATTAATTTTTAATATTCAAAGCAAACTCACCCATCCATCCATGTCTCTATGCTTTATTTTGCTGAGAAATCATTTAGAACCCCCCCAACCCCTAGTATTTCTGGCCTTGGCAATCTTGAGTAAGGGCAGATGATTCATGTAGCAGTTATTTTCTGAAATCTGTCTGCCCTTAGTTCAGGCATACATACTGGAGGGTGTGCTTAGTTAAGAAAACCCCTTCTCCCCTTCTGAAGACTCCTAGGGTGTATGACATCATTTGCCTAAGCATGGAAAATAGGAAATGACTAAAGAAATGTAAAAATAATTTAAAACAAGTAAATATGAAATACTTTCATATCTATTTACTAATGCTGGTAGTATAAGGATTCAAAATAGTCAGTGTTGACTGAAGTGAACGTCCACTTTAAATATCACAGTGAAAGAATAATAAAGTGTAAGGTATTATTACTTGTCACAATTATGACAAATAATTATATCAGAAAGAAAGTTATTTGAACAAAACATTTTGGACTCCAAGAATAATACCTTTGAATACTCTTTAAAATTACTCACAGTATCAAAATGAAGTCAAACAATGTACAAAGTCTAACAAGAAATTCAAATGGGAGGTTGAGTTTCAAAACATTTCCTTTAAGGTTTTAATCACTAGCCTACAGGGCACTTATACCCCCTTCCTGCCCAGGCCAATTTCCAGCTTTCAGCGCTGTTGCACTTTGAATGACAATTGCGCGGTCATGCAACACTGTACATATGAAATTTTTATCACTTTTTTGTGACAGATAGAGCTTTATTTTGGTAGTCTTTATTCACCTCTGTTTTTTTATTTTTCCTTAAACAAACCAAAAACCACTGAAATTTAAAAAAAAAAGTTTTTCTTAGTTTTTGTTATACAATTTTGTAAATAAGTGATTTTTCTCCTTCACTGATGTACGCTAATGAGGCTGCAGTGATGGGCACTGATAGGCTGCACTGATGGACACTGATAGGTGGCACTGATGGGCACTGATGAGGAGGCACTGGTAGGTGGCACTGATGGACATTAATAGGCATCACTGATGGGCACTGAAAGGCAGCACTCATATATGGCACTGATAGGCGGCACTGATAGGTGGCACTGACGGGCACTGATAGGTGGCACTGATGCATACTGATAGGCGGCACTGACTGGAACTGATAGGCGGCACTGACTGGCACTGATAGGTGGCACTGATTGGCAGCACTGATAGGTGACACTGACTGGCATTGATAGGTGGCACTGACTGGCACTGATGGGTGACACTGAAAGGCAGCTCAGATGGGCACTGATATGTGGCATTGATGTGCACTGGTAGGCACTGAAATGTGGCATTGATGTGGCACTGATGGGCACTGGCAGGTGGCACTGCTGGGGCTACACAGATCATCAGGGCACACTGATCATCAGTGCCCTGATGATCAGTGTACATGTCCCCTCTGAGGGATGCCGATTACCGGCTTTCCTCTCCTCTCAAGCTGTCAGCGTGACAGCTCGTGAAGAGAGAAATGCCGATAACTGGCATTTCCCTATTTACATGTGATCAGCTGTGGTTGGACACAGCTGATCACATGACCGAGCCGACATCTTCGGCTCTTTCTGTTGATCGGTGATCTGCTGTGTCCAAAAAGGACACAGCGCACCGCCGATTGCTGCACTGCGCGCTCCCGGAGCCACGCATGCGCTATTAGAATGGGAGGATGTCATATGGTATCCTCCCAGAACGAGAGAACCGCCTTGCGCCCGTCATTGTACTATATGGCGGGTGGGAGGCGGTTAAAGATATTCTGTAGATAATGTGAGGGTTTTCCAAATGGAAGTGCATAAAAAAGGTCAATCCATTCAACATTCATAAAAAACCTGCCACAAACTGGCAACTGATATCTCCCTTTCCAGAAAAATACTCAGATCATCTGGGGGTGTTTGTTACAGAAAATATTGGAGGTTATAGAGGGTAAGGGAAGGGTCAGTAAAGGAGAGATGAGGAATGGGGAAAATTAAAGATAAAAAATAAGAAACAAATAGGAAAAAAGGGAATAAAATCTTTGATGGATATCATCTACTGGGAAATGATTGACATTGGGTCTCCAATGATAAAAACCTGACTGCCATTATAATATTTAGGCAACAACATACTAAGCACCTGTCCTTCCCCAAAGTACAATAATGTCCTGAACACCTTTGTGGGAAACAATGAAAACAATCAGGGCTCAGGCTAGGAGACCGGGAAATTGTTAGGACTGTTAGGAAATCAAAGAGAGATGGCAATTATCAATGTGCAGGTCTACCAACACACATACATATAATCAGAACAGGGTGGATTTATCTGTAAACTAAATGCATCAACATTTCTACTTTAACACTATAATTTCCCTATTGATGCATAATTTGCCTATACAAGTGGAAATTGGTCTGCCTGAGACTTTCTTATAAAGCATGATTCCATGGTATAGTCTAATCTATCAGATATAAGTGATCCAGATGGTTACTGGCTGTCTATAATGCACAGAGAGCAGTAGACACTGTTAATCAAGAGTCATGCATTAGCAGCAGATCAGTCCTCAAACGTTCACATCATCCATCTTATCCTACCTATACAATATTTGTACTGATATCTAACCAGTGGGAACACATTGATGCTACATGCCTGTGCTGATTATAAGTCTTTTCTACAGATATCATTCAGGCACGTACATGTAGAGGAAAAAGATTGATTATTTGTTTTATCAATTCACCGAAAATGATCATTAGATACAAGAAAAGGTCAATTCGATCACATGTCATTTCCTATCAAAAACAATGTTGTTTTCAATTAAAATTATTGTTTATTGATCAAATGACTTAAGGAAATTGATTTTTGAAGCATATGAGGTATCTAAGTTGACCTTATGTAGACTGTACAATCAGATTCTAAAATATGTGATCAATTAAAGCATGATTGACTACAGGTTTTTTCTTCTACTTGAACTGTGTTGAGTAATATCTGTTCAAAGAGTATCTTAGCTGTACTCCAATGATATACTGCCAATATCACCACTGTTTAACAAATGGAAAAGTTAGTTACTTTGATAATCCACTACACAACCCATAACAAATGCACCATCGTCTTACTTTTCCTTGGTGTCCTACTCTTCTTTAAGCAACATGTACAGCCCTTCTCTATTGCTTTAAAGTACTGTTAAACCAAAATATCCAGATACCTAATATAATTCACTTCCAGCTAAATGGGTGCAAGATCTGGAGGATAAAACAAATCAGGGAAGTATAGAGCTAGGTGTGTGTGAGGGAAATGATTGAAACCTTTAGATACATTAAGCTTGTAAATAAGGTGCAAGAGGGCAATATTTTCAATATGAAGTTGAGATCAAGAGCACAGGAGAATTACTTAGAGCAGGTGGCGGACTGACAACCTATGGGGCCCCTGGGCAATAGGGGATTTTGGGGCCCCTGTGTCCTTGCCCAAACTCAAAAAAGCCTATGAAAAAGATACCAGGGGCATCTCATGGGGCCCCCTACTGACCCCGGGCCCTCGGGCAGTGCCCAAGTTTCCCAATGGTTAGTCCGCCCCTGACTTAGAGAAATGTTTAAGAGTAATGTATTAAAGTAAAACTAAAGACAAAACTTTTTTTTTAGTTTTGGATACAGCGGAGATATTGCAGTCTGTGCCCCTGTTAGGGAGATTCACCCTCTCTATTTGTCCTGTTTAACATGATCATTGAAAGTGAAAGTAAAAGAAAACCCCAAATTTAGGGTTGTCCCCAGAAAAGTAAAAGTGGGAAAATGTACCAATGGAAACACTAGTTCTGGTAACATGGTGGTCCCCAAGAAATTTAGCAGGGATTCTCTCACTTCCTGTTTTGGCTATGGGACAGGAAATGGAGGTAAATATGCCTAGTGGGACACAGTATTAAAGTATATCTGAAGGCAGACCCTTTTTTTTGGTTTTAGTTTTGGACATAGTGGAGAAGGATTAGAATACCTATACATTTTTGTTGCTGTCTATGTCCTGTTAAGGTGATTCACCCTATGTGTCCTGTTTACCATTATCATTGAAATTGCAAGTAAAAGAAAATCTCAAATTTTGGGTTTTCCTCAGAAAAGTAATAGGGGGGGGGCAATCTTCCAATGGGGACACTAGTTCTGGTAATCTGTGGATCCCTAAGGAATTCCCTTAATTTGCAGGGATTTCCCATCACTTCCTGTTTGGCTATGGCACAGGAAGTGAAGGGAAATCTCCCCTATTGGACATAGATGGGGAAAAAAATCTGACAGGGGTTATAACCCTCCCTTACTCTATCTAAAATGACAAGCAAAAAGCTTTGCTTTTAGTTCTACTTTAAAGTATTATTTTATAGAAAGAGTAATGGATGCTTAAAGTATTATTAAAGGTAGACATTCTTTTAGTTTTAGACAGAGTGGAGAGGGATTAGATCATCTATATGTTTTTTGTTTTGACCCTTCCTTGCTCTATCCAAAATGAAAAAAGAAACGTTTTGCCTATAGTCCTACTTTAGATAAACTTAAGATAAACTTCTACTTTAAAATAAACTTCTAGTAGAAATTCAAAAGCAAGTGAATTTAAAGTCCATCTCCAGGTAAACCTACCCACATCCACCAAGAGAATCCCATGTTTATTTGTGTATTTATTTAATTATTATTATTACTATTATTATTATTATATTTTTTAATACTTACTTCTATTCTGTAGTGCAAAAACATCTGTGAGGTCTGAGTGATGTAATCACTTGCCTTCAAGATACTTCTATTCCAGCAGTGATAGGAAGAGAGGCCTGCAAGACAGCCAATTTCACAGAGCAGCACCCTGCAGAAATAGTGGCAGGTGTTGTGGAGATCTGTCAACCAGAATGATAGCCACAAAAACATTTAGCATGCAGAATTTCATAAATATTTGATGAAAAAAGCAGAATTCTTAAAAATGAAGATTTACAATAATGCCAGGGGCACTTCATTATTTTTTTATTCTGATACTAGGTCTTTTTCTGGCACCAGATTTTCCATGTTCTATGTTCCTAAAATCCTCCCCCAAAGACTGTGGATTGCTATATTATATGGAGAAACTGCAGATTACCCATTGTTCTAGTTAGGATCACTGAAACCTATGGCCATGGATTCATTCACATCAAGCTCAATTCAACAGCATCTCTGTACATTGTGCTAGGCACAAATTTAAAAAGCTTTTCTCCACTTGCTTCAAACAGATCTAGTAGCAAGGGGAGTTCTTACATTCCTTGCAGATTGGTTTATGCAAGCCAATTAAATTAGGTCAACTGGAGAACTTTTCAATAAAAAAACATCAATTTTATTAACTTTACAAAGAAAATAAATCTATTTACAAAATAATGACTTCCCATGTCACATGGGACCAAGAGGTTGGTTGTAATACTGATTTCTGTCCTTAGAAAATATCTATTTGCCCATCAGCCTATTTCTTAGTAGTGAAATGTCACCATTTTTTTAAGGCAAAGCCCTAGATTAACAAAGTTCATCTGACCAGGGGATCAGCGGTCAGCATTCATTTTTTGATAGAAAAAGAAGTAAAGTTCAATAATAAAGTCAATCTCTGCCACTGAAATAAACATGTGTGACTCCAGTGTGTCCATCAGTTTTTCATTTGAAAAATAATGGAAGAAAAGAAATTGCCAAATTCACTGAACAGAAGGTGTCAACTTCCCGCATGAAACTGCAAAGTATTCTGTGCTTTTAAATCTAGTGTTGAATTATCTTCAGTTCCAATACATAATTGGAGGAAAAAGTAGACTCTGGCAATTAAATAGAAAAGAAAGATTGTATATCCAAATTAAAAATTAGTTTTAATTATAAAGCAATGTATAATTTATCATGTTTATTTAATTAAGCTTAGCTTTCCCAGATCAATAATGGGATGGAATGTTAAAATAAGGTATTCAAATGTATTTTTAATATCAGTACTGAAAGACAGTCACAGTCTTAAAGCAATCTATACTAAAAATGAATTGTATAAATGAGGGCAACAGTTAATGGAAGGCAACTAGCAGACCATACCTTGAGAGCATCCAGGATCACTCAACACTGGTACTATACTATCATGCATATACAGTACAACTTCTGCTAGCAAGTCACCACTTAGTGTCCACCCAAACTTCACTGTTATATGTTAAATTGGATGAAGAAATTTACTAACCAATATTGAGATGCCGGGCTGTAGAGAGATAAGAGTAGGTATCAGCAAGGAGGTTGGGGGAGGCAAGTGACAAAGGCAGAACTTGCCTACACTACATATGGATTAATAGTGAGCAGTCAATTTGAATTACTTATTTAATGTTTAGCTAAAAGCTGTGTTCAAATGTTCACGTGCAAGCCAAGGCACATTTTAAAAAATAATCACACAGTACATCTTTAGGAAACGTATATAAATGGGGCACACACGCATTGATTGGACACAGTAGAAGCCGATCAACAGGTGCCGGCCAAAGGATGAGCATCGGCACCCATTGATCTTTGAGAGACACTGACAGAACACAGTATGTAAACAAGGCAGGGCTATGTTCTGTCAGCGGTGATCTGCTAGATTTTCTTTCCCTGCAGGGAATAAATTCTAGTGGATTTCCTAGTAAAAACACCTAAC